TTTAAGTGTAAAACTAAAGGTCTGCACAATGTACCAAGTTTCATTGAAATGAAAAAAATATTAATTATTATGCTAATTAGAGAATTAATATGAACAGATTTTAACCCCAAATTAATCAGGCTGTCTATTGTCCTAGAGCATTTATGTACCAAGTTTTATTCAAATGCGATGATCAATACTTGAGATATCAGTATTAATTAATTATGTTAATTAGGTGATTAAGAAGCATAAATATTTACCAAAAACTAATATGGTGCATAGTCTGAGGTTCATTGAAATGTGATGGGTACTATTTAAAAGTTTCATTGAAATCCAATGAGTGGTTTTTAAACATCAGTGCAACAGCCATAGAACAGCAAAAATTTAACTAATTATGCAAATTAGGTAATTAATAGGCACAATTATTTATCCCAAAATTAATCAGGTCTCTGCATAGTCCTAGAAAAAATGTTGCAAGTCTCATTGAAATGTGATGATTAGTACTTGAGATATCAGGTGAAAAGCTGAAAATTAACTAATTATGCTAATAAGGTGATTAATATGCACAAATATTTTACCCCAAAACTAATTAGGTCTCTGCACAGTCCTCAAGTAACTATGTACCAAGTTTCATTGAAATGTGATCATTACTACTCAAAATATCAAAAGCTGAAAATTAATTACTTATGCAAATTAGGTAATTCTGATATTACCCTAAAAACTATCAGGTCTGTGCAGTGTCATACGACACCTATGTACCAAGTTTTATTGAAATGTTATGATTAGTACTTCAGATATCAGTGGAAAAGCCGAAAATTGATTAATCATTATGTAAATTAATAATACTAACAGATTTTTACCCAAAACTAATCAAATCTGCGCATTAGTTCAGAGCATCCATGTGCCAAGTTTCATTGAAATCTAATGAGTGGTTCTTCAAAAATCAGTGGAACAGTCATAGAACAGCTTAAAATCAGTTAATTATCATGCAAATTAGGTAATTAATATTCATAGATTTTTACCCAAAACTAATCAAATCTGCGCATTATCCCAGAGTATCTACCAAGTTTCACCAAAATTTGATTTGTGGTTCTTGAGATAACGGTGGAACAAAAAAAGTGACATACATACATACAGACAGGGTAACTGCAAAGACTCCCTTTTGCGTCAATGACATGCATCAGGAACCTGTAATGTCTAATGTGTGTTATAAGTTTGAACAAAATACATCCATAAATGCTTGACATTCTTGATATTTGAGGATTTTTTTAGCACAAAAATAGCACACTTTGAAAAGGATTGTCAAACCAATATATTCGTATATCTGTGACATGATGTATAATGAATATTAAAAATTTGAACATAATCAGTCAAAACAAGTCAGACATATGGGTCTGGAAACCCATTCATTAAAACAAAATGGCCGCCAGACAGCCATCTTGAATCTGATCTGAAAAATAAAATGACTTGCATCAGGAACCCGTAATGTCTAATGTATGTACCAAGTTTGAACAAAATCCATCCATAAATGACAGAAATGCTTGATATTTGATGATTTTTTAATACAAAAATGACAACCATTCGGCCATTTTGAAGAGGATCATCAAACCAATATATCTATCGGGAACATTTAGTCACAGTTATTGATTCGTATTTACTCGTATTCTTTTCGCATATATACACATCCTTTTAGTGTTAGTTCGATGTGTTTCTGTTTGATATTGCATGTAAAGCTATGGAAAACTAGCACAACCTTGCTTTACGCCATTTTAATGATCAAGGCCACTTATACTAACGTAATAGGAAACACTCATAATTATATAATCAGCTCCAAAATTTTTTTACACGATGTGAATCCTTGGCGGTTTATAAATACTGTGATTTCTTTGTAATTACTAGTTGTTACCAAACTCTCGATGATACATGTTATATTCTCCAGAATAAATACTATCCGTAGCTGAAGTATATCGTCTCGCTGTGCCTTTATCCCGTAATAATGTCTAATGTATATACCAAGTTTGAACAAAATCCATCTGTAAACAGTCGGAAATGGTTGATTTTTATGATTTTTTAGCACAAAAATGGCCGCCATTCGGCTATCTTGAATCAGAACTAAAACAAAATGATGTGCATCAAGGTCCTATAATGTCCAATGTATATACAAGGTTTAACAAAATCCATCTGTAAACAGCCGGGGAAATGCTAGATTTTGAAGATTTAGCACAAAAATGGCCGCCATTCGGCCATCTTGAATCAGATCATGACACAAATTGAAGTGCATATGTATGATATCATGTATGATGTATATTTGAAGTTTGATTGTGATTGGTCCAGGCATTCCTAAGATACAGGTCCGGACGCACGCACAGACGCACGCATGCACACACGGAGGTCAAAACATAAGACCCCGCTTTCGGACTGCGTCCGAACGGGGACTAAAAAACATCGCAAATCATGCAAATTCAACATTTTCAAAGCAGTATACTAACACAGAAATGCTCAACGATGCAAAAAAAGGATAGATATTATTTTTCAGTATACACATCTCTGTTGATACTATCCCTCACATATTCCACTCCCAATTATTCCTGCGTAAAATGGAATAGCCTCTTTCCATGTTGACATTTTGAGTAAAATCACGCGATAGGCTGTTGAAATTGGCTGTTACATACTCTTTCGCCAGTCTGGAAAATGTGTTATTTATTACTCATTCAAGCAGCAATGCAAATTTCCCAGTGGGAGTGAAACTAGTGCGACTCTGCCATTACAAAAAAGGGGTGTTTTCAGCAAAAAACGATTTACCCTGGAGTGCACACAACACACTGAATTTCGGAACAAATCTTGCATTAGTTACAGCAGCAGAATACCACAGAAATATCAGACACGACATGAAAACACTATATTGTATTTCGGCCTGAACCCTCTCTATTGTAATTCCAGGAATTACCCTCATATGTGCATCCATTTTCCACCTTGGTATCACCACCCCTGAAAACAAACTCTTAATACCACGCTGTGGTATTAATTAACAGCTATCACTACCCCATAAAGTTGCAGCGTGCCATAAGATATAAAATGAATATGCATTTTACCCATACACGGAATTGCTTATTCCAAAAATGGCATGATAATAGTATATTCCAAGATGGTTGTGTTTCAAAAGTGCAAATAAAACAATAGTTCCAGTTGAATTTTACTGCCTAGCTCATTCTAGGGTTTTATTCTTGAGGTGGTTGGATTATGAAGATGTCTAATAAAATCAGTAATAATAAGGTGTAACACAAAGGTAGTAAAAAATATGAATTCAGATGTGGTCACATCAATCTCCAATTTATCAACCACTGAGTGGAGTTTTGCTGGGTATGAAATTTTTGTTCAGATATTTTTTCAAACATTTAATGCACATTATATTTTATTATTTCAGGTCAATAGAAAATGATATGTACAGTTTGTTACTAACTATATTTGAGTCTAATATATGTACGGGTCATCCATGTCTGCTAACTTAATGTGCAGAGGTTGCTGAGGGACTTGGATGTGTCGTTCATTTCCAAATAAATACATGCATCAGCACAATGAACAAAAAGAGCAGCATTCAATCAATGTTTGTATCTTCTTGGGAATATTTTCTAATCACAGATAATCAAGTCATCATCTTCTTCCATCACAGTGACCTTTCGTTTCTTAGAAACAGTTATCACTTCTTCATCATCCGGAGTTTTGCGTTT